CAAGCGACAAACTTCTATCAGAATTCGAAACAATTATTCTCTCTAATAAATAATATCAAATTTAATAAATATACCAACGACCTACAACATAAAATTCGAAGAGACATCTATAACATCTAGAAATCCGATAAGATAATTATCAAATCGGAAAAGACTAGTAACCACTATCCCATCGAGGCAGAATTGTACCACAAAGCCATCACTACAGAAGTATATAAATTCTATAAAAAAGCCGATCTTAACTGGGAAAAGGCTATTAATCATGATGACAAGGCTATAGTGACTGAACTTAATATAGACGATAGAATTCCTAAACATTACAAATAACAAGCTTTCGCCACGATTAAAATCCACAAGAAGAATTTCCTAAATAACTCCCAATACCGACTGCTCAACCCATTCAAATCGGTATTATCAGCAAAACCATTATGAAAAGCACGTGTAAGTATATTGAAAAAGTCTTTAACTATTAACGAGTTATTGAATGGTTCAGTAATATAAATAAGGAAAAAGAATGTAAAATTTTACAGTTCGATATCTGTGAGTTCTACCCATCCATCACGAAAGATCTACTGAGATGCGCTATTAAGTTAACAAAGAACGACTGCCATGTTTTTGGCCAAGAATTAATTGACATAAGAAAGGCACAGAAACCGATTTTATACCACGACGCAAATCTATGGAATAAGAAAGATAACCAAGACTTTTGCGTTCCCTTGGGAGCACATGACTCTGCAGAAGCATATGAATTTGTTGGGATACCTTTATTATGGAGACTCAGATTTATCTCTGATATAAAAAAGCAACGGTATATACAGAGATGATGGGATAATTCTCCTTCGAAAACTGAGACCAAAACAAGCATACCGACCGAGAAAGGACTTAACCATATTCTTTAAGAAATATAAACTAAACATTACCACCAATACCAACGCTAAAATGAGAAATTTCCTAGAAGTTACATTTGACCTGAGTAAGGGCATGTAAAAACCATACACTAAAAATTTATACAACCACAGGTACGTCGATAGAAGATCCAACCACTACAAAAGGACACTTGACAATTTGCCAAAATCGGTATATGTTATCAACCAACTCCAGTAACATTCGACGATAATAAAGCTAGATATAACAAAGCGCTAGAACGCAGCAACCATATTGTGAAATTGCAATATGTCGTAAGAAATAACAACAAAGATAAAAATAACCTTAAACAATGCAAACGTGACATTATTTGGTTCAACCTGCCATACCACAGTAATGTCAAAACCAATGTAAGAATTTTCCTGAATTCAATTCACAAACACTTTGATCATTATCCAACACTAAACAAGATTTTCAACAGAAATAAAATTAAGGTAAACTATTGATGTACCATAACATAGATAATTAGGTAAGACATCATAACAATAATGTACAAGGTAACCAAAAAAGTTCTGTCTGTTTTTAAAGAAAAAAAAGGAAACGCTGCATAGTATGTGTAAATTATATTTAGTCTTCAAAGTAATCGCCATCGGCATCCAGCACCTTCTGCCAACGTGTCTCCAGCTGTTCAATGCACTTGCGGTAGAACTCGAGGAGTTTTGTCGCAAAGAAGTCTGTGAGGGCTTTGCGCAAGTCTGCTTCATTGGTGAAGGATTTCCCACGAAGATGATTATCCAGGGAGTGGAAGAGGTGGTAATCGGATGGCGCAAGGTCAGGTGAATAAGGTGACACAAAGTCTCACACCCAAGTTGCTGTATGGTATCCCTGACCACTCGCGCGACATGTGGCCTGGCGTTGTCATGGAGGAAAAGCACACCTTTGCGATTCACAAGTGCTGGCTCCTTCTGGCGCAATGCCTGGTACACACGTTTTAATTGCTGCGAGTATATGTCTCCAGTGATCGTTTGGCCCGTTGGTAGCAGTTCATAATGAACCACTTGATGGCCTGTCCACCAGACACAAAGCATAATCTTACGTGGGTGCATAGGCGGTCTTACGGTGTGAGGGACAGCATACTGAGGAGACAATCAATGTCTGGAACACTTAGGAGTTTCGTACAGAACTGACTTTTCATCATTGGTAAGCACTCGATTTAATAAGGATGCGGTACGTTGGCGAGAAAGCAGCGATACGCAGGCTGTCACTCATTGGCCCTTTGTGGACCTCCAACAGCGTTTGCGGAACCCACGTGCTCAGTTTGTACGCCTTACCTAGGCTGTGCAGGTGAAGTCTAACTGTTTCATCGGAAACGTTGAACTGTCTGGCAAGTTCACCACACGTTAGACTACTGTCCTCTTCAATGGCCGCCTTCAGGACTCCGTCATTCAAGACCTGTAGTCGTCCACTGCGAGGCTCATCATGGAGAGACAAATCTCCCGACTTGAATTTTCGAAACCAACGCCTTGCAGTACGTTCATCCACAGCACTATCCCCAAATGCTTGACATATGCGGCGACTTGATGCAGCTACTGATAAGCCAACTTTGAAGTCGTAAAGCAAACAGCCTCGAACGAGATCTCTAGACACTTCCATCCTTCTCACAGCTGTCCGGCTTATAACTGATGGCCGAGCACGGTGCGCGTGTTTTTTTATAACGTCTGATGTTCCTACTTCCGGCTGTCCGAATTTGAAAACAATTGCTACATGCATTTTGTATATATTTCAACTTCATTCAATGACTAATCAAAAAACGGACAGAACTTTTTTGGTTACCATGTATTAAGCAAGCTTCCAAACAAAACACTAAAAATATTCCTCCTAAAAGTCAATGCAACTGCCGTAAAAACGTAACCTGTCCATTAAATGGCCAGTGCATGACTGAAGGCATAATATACAGAGCTAGAATCAATTCAGACGATGATGTTAAATATTAGTTTGGATCCACGGGGAAAAGCTGGGAATCGCGGTTTTACCGCTACAAAATGATACTGAGCAATATCAAATACAAAAACTGCACAACACTTTCAGAGTATGTTTGGCAATTAAAAGACAACCAAAAGAACCCAACCATTAACTGGGAGATAATCACGAAAGCTAAGCCATACAATGGAAAGGGGGAGAGCTGTAACTTGTGTTTGTTGGAGAAGTTATTATATAAGACAATTTTGAATCATCACCACGAGAACGCGAACTCTGTAACGGTCAGAACATATTTGCACCTGAAGATATATATATATATATATATATATATATATATATATATATGCAGCGGAGGGAAATGAATATTCGTACACTTGAAAAATTGTATTTTTATAAATGTAAAAGCCTTAAATAAAACAAATCTTGGCACATTTTATGTATAAAGACACATACTATTAAAAAATAATAAACTTAATTAATTCTTATTCTAACAGAAATTAATGCATTTTTTTAATTCTAACTGGTGAAAAAAGTATTCGTACAAATCAATTATTAGAATAAAATAATCAATTATTTTATGAAAAAGTATATTCTAGAATGGTCCAGTAATGTTATCAGTAACTATAGTTAACGCTATTAGCCATGATCAGAGCATTCTGCAATTTCTAGTCTTACCTGAAGGTTCTAATAATGCCTAAAGGTAAAGAATTGACTATTTCACAAAAACAACACATTTTGTCTCTTTGGAAAGATGCGTACAGTTACAGAATGATTTCTAACAACCTTAATATTCCTTTTACTACAGTTGCTTCGTTCATTGCAAGGTTTAAAACTCGTAACAGCGTCGAAAACCAAAGACGAACAGGTGCTCCAAGGAAGATTTCTCTAAGATCAGCAAGGATATTAGGACGCCAGATTTAACAAAATCAACAGGTCACCTGAGAAGAGCTGCAGAAACATCTGCGTGCATTAGGGATTAAAGTAACCAAGCGTACAATAAGTAATGAACTACACAAAACAGTCTGAAATCACGCATCCCAATGAAGACTCCACTCCTCTTGAAACGACACAGAGATGCTAGGCTAAAATTCGTTAGAGAGCATAAGGATAAAGAATATTCGTTTTGGGAAAAACTACTATGGACAGATGAAACTAAAATAGAGTTGTTTGGTCATAATTATCGAAATCATGTGTGGAGGAAGGACGGTGAAGCCTACTTACCAAAGAACACGTTGCCAAGTTTGGTGGTGGCAGTATCATGATCTGGGGCTGTTTTTCTGCAAAAGGTGTTGGCAGAATATCAATAATAGATGGCAAGATGAATGCCGAAAGATACCAGAAAATCCTGCAAGACAATTTAATGCGTTCCGTTGAGAGACTTCGGCTACCTCCTGATTGGGTTTTTTAACTGGATAATGATCCTAAGCATACCGCTAGATCTATAAGGAAATGGTTAGCTGAAAGTAAGGTTGATGTCTTGCAATTGCCAAGTCAGTCCCCAGACTTGAACCCAATCGAGAATTTATGGCGATATTTGAAAATTCAAATTGGGAAAAGAGCACCAACAAATATCAAGAATTTGAAGACTATATGCCAAGAAGAATGGGACAAAATACCACTCAATGTGTGCAAATCATTAGTTGAGACGTACAGCAATATACTGGTAGCTGTTGAACTCCATAAAGGATATTCCACAAACTATTAAATTAAGTTAATATGCTTTTTTTTTGTTTTGTACGAATACTTTTTTCATCAGTTAAAATGAAAAAAAATGCATTAATTTCTGTTAGAATAAGAATTAATTAAGTTTATTACTATTTTTTAATAAAATGTATCTTTACACATAAAATGTATAAAAAATTTTTTTAGTTAAGGCTTTTACATTTATAAAAATACAATTTTTCATGTGTACGAATATTTATTCCCCGCCACTGTATATACAGTGTAACCCGGATATAAGAGAGTTGCCGGGACCGGAGAAGAAGTCTCTTATATCCGGGTTTCTCTTATATCCGGGTTTCT